TCATTTAGGCGGCAACAGTACCGCGTTGTTTGAACGTTATCTAATTAACCCGGTTCCACTCCAATGATCACTCTAGTGACAAGAATTACAAGTAAGCAGTTTACGTCTAGTTTGTGGCGTTTTGATATGAAACATATGCTGCTTGAACTTTAGACGTTCATAGCTAATTGATAACACGGGTAAAGTCAAGTTTACACTTGTTAATAAAAGAGGTGCAAATGTTTCTTTAAGGCCCGTAAAAAAATACAGTGAAAAAAGCGTTAAAACACCAAAAAATTTCCTTCGAGCCGGAGTTGAACCAGCGACCTAAGGATAACTGTTCATGTGCCACTACAGTCCTCCGCTCTACCCAACTGAGCTATCGAAGGGTTGTTCCGAATCGAACTCGACAAACGCGCACATTAACGGAGCCCTCAGCGAAACTGGTTGCGACTTACTGGGTCACCGGTGACAGATAAGATAAACGGACAGCGCGTCTATCTATCAGCCTGTTGCCATGGTCGCCAGCTCCGACAACGCACTAGATCGTCTGCTACTGCGCGCGCATAGCGCACTCGTCGCTTGTCGTGCGCCCGCGCGCGCCATGAACAGGAAGTAGTCGTAGGCGCGCGCGCTGCGCATCGCGCAACATCCGCCCGCACTGGCAGACGCGCGTTTTAGCACTTCCGCAATTGGTAGATGAGGGGAGGGGAGGGGTGCTAAATTCGAAGCGGACGGCTGTTCGTTTGTCTGGCAGACGGCGAGACGTCAGACGCAGAACATCGCTTGACGGGTTGCGCTGTTTCGTCCTGCCGGCATGCAACCTCCCTCGCGAGAGAGACGAAAGAAGGAAGAGAGAGAGACTTGAGAGAGAGAGATGAGAGGAGAAAGAGGAAGAGAGAGAGAAGAGAAAGAAAAATTATAAAGAAAAAGAAGGAGAGAGAAGGAAAGAACAAATATAAGAAAAAGAAGCGAGAGAGAAGAGAAAGACGAGAAAAAACGAGCAGAGGAAGGTAGTGGTAGGAGAGAGGGGGTTAATGGGGATTGTCTTGTCACTAGAGTGATCATTGGAGTGGAACCAGGTTAACTAAACGTTTAAACAACGCGGTACTGTTCTCTCCTTAATGACACAAAAATAGTTCGTTATCGTGGTTCCTTCGATAGCTCAGTTGGTAGAGCGGAGGACTGTAGTGGCACAGAAACAGTTATCCTTAGGTCGCTGGTTCAACTCCGGCTCGAAGGAAATACTTTTGATTAATTTAATTTGGATATTGAAGCATTTTGTGATGCTTACAAATATATTAAAAAAATATTTTTCATAGTAAATAAGTATTCTTTCTCTGCAGACCTATAGGAATGCATTAGACCGGACAAGAAGTCTTATCAACAACAACAACAACAACAACAACAACAACAACAATAACTCGTAGAATGCTTTTTCAAATCATCGTCAAAGGCGAAAATACTTCTCCCTCTTAATTTACTCCTCTACGTAAAATATTTTCGTCTTCCTCTCTTTATAAAGCTATTGAATCGTACGTTTGCGTGATTGTGTCACACGACCATATTTTTAATGTCCACGAGAATGCAGTGTATAATTCTGTCTAATTCTTCTGTATAATGTGGTCATTTTGCGTCGATTAGTAGTGAAATCCTACTAGAATTGAGATTAATCTAAACACATGTTTGAATCTCTGCATCGTTGGCACCAAATCGATCAAGAGCGTATTATGTATAGCTGCCAACTCGAGTTCGATTTTCGCCAATATATTAGATTTTACTGCTTAATATCTCAGCGTAGGGGCATTGTAGAGACAAGCGGTTGGTTTTACATTATCAAGGTGGGACTGTTGAATAATAATACCGCAAAGAATTGTCAAAATATAACGGGCAAGGTTTACTAATTCTACTGAAACTACAGCAAGGTTGTTGCATTTCACCGTTGTACGCTCGCTTAGTTATTAATACGCTCTTGAATCGATTCATGTCGGTAAGAAATGTTAGTATTCGTCGTATCGTGTCGATATCTATCCATCAAATATCCGTATGTTTAATTTCGGCATCGTCATCGTTGCAGTCGTCGCTCACTCGCACGCGATTCTCTCTTTATATCTGTTCTATTTAATTATGCCATCGTCATCGTTGTCGTCATCACCGCTCGCGCGCGTTTTTCATAGAATCGTCATATTTAGATTTTGTCATGTCATCGTTGTCGGTCAATCGGTCGTTCGCAGTAGAGCGCTTTCCCATCTAATATTTGGCGTGAGCGATGCGCTGGGTCCGAATCCTGGTGTCAGGCAAAGATCCCGTTTGTTTCCGAATTGCGCTACACACGATACAGGCGTCACACGCGCCGCCGCTGCGCCGCTGTCCGCGCAGCCGCCGCGCGCCGCGCGCCGGCCAGCCGCCGGCGTCTTGCATCTTCCGTCCGCGACGACGAGTGCGTCTGCTGTAGGGACGCGCGATGCGCGCACAACACACGCATAGCGCCGAGAGAGCGGAGAGAGAAAGCGCGAGAAAAAGTCCAGGCAAGCGAGGAGACAAGAGAGAGAGAGAGAGAGAGAAGGAGAGAGAGAGAGATAGAGTAGAGAGAGAGAGATGAGAAGAGAGAGCAGAGAGAGAGAGAGAGAGAAGGAGAGAGAGAGAGATAGATAATAAAGAGATAGATAAAAAGAGAAGAGAGAGAGAAGATAGATAGAGTAAAGAGATAGAGATAGAGAGAGAGAGGAGAGAGAAGCAGAAGAGAGAGGATGAGAGAAAGAGAGAGACAGACCAAGAGAGAGACAGAATATATATATATATATATATATATATATATAGATATATATAGAATATAATTATATATAGTAGATTGAGAGAGGAGAGAGAGATGAGAGAGAGAAAGAGAAGAGAGAATACAGAGAGAAAGAGAGAGAGAGAGAGAGAGAGAGAGAGAGAGAGAGAGAGAGAGAGAGAGAGAGAGAGAGAGGAAGCGCTCACAAGAGAGGTGGGCCGGGAAAGAGGAAGAGCGCGAGAGAGGCTACGGGAGAATGGGAATGGAGAAGAAACAAAGATCGAAGCAGTGAGACAGAGAGACGAGGGATGACATTTATCACATTGTCATTGACTTGTGCTCTTTCCGTGTGTACACATGAACCCCTCACCGTTAGTCCCGTGCTCTCTTTGTCTCTGTTCGCAGCAGCTAGGCAAGTCAGCTCAATGTTTGCTGGTAAAATAGGAGAGAGAGAGAGAGAGAGAGAGAGAGAGAGAGAGAGGGAGAGAGAG